AAAAAAAAAAAAAAAAAAATGAATACCTTTTTATGTGGTAATTGCCTGGGCAATCAAGCGAAACATAAAATGCAGAAGGCTTAATCTGTCACTAACCTCAAGAGTTAGCATTTACAGACGCGGGCATTCAGAGCGTGATGTGACAGAATGCCATTTCCGAAACCCACCTTTGTCTCAACTAACACAATTCATTTGAGTCTTGTAAAGTTGGTGATCTTTTTATTTATGTACATGTGTGATGATTCTTGTCAAATAAATTGTGTATTTGAATATTAATAATTTGAATTGTGCTTTGAAGAAACAGATATTTATAGAAACAACGTCATTACATATAATTGGCTAAACATTTAATTAGCGCATGGACAACAAAACCTTTCAAAAGTTCAAATGCAGGCCCTATTTATCTAGGAAACAATTTCAAACCTATTTCCGTGCTATATATGCTGTGTTTCAGGCCTTGGTTTAGAATGATATTGATATTGGTTTTGATCTTTTTTAGCTCAAACTGAAGCTGTTAAACATTTCTACACCTGAAATGGGTATTGGCAAAAGTTTCGACTCTGAAATCGCCTGCAATACAGCACGTATTCAGATGTGCACATATTCCACGGAATTAGACAATTAAACAGTTGTAATTAGTCAGTATATATATTTTATTGTCACTTATTGTGATACATAGAGTGACATATTGTAATAGGCCTATATCGAAATATATGGTTCAGAGAAACATTGTTATTGAATAATTTATTGTTCTGTGATATAGCTACGCCTGTCTTCCATTGAGGGCATTATAATCATTCTTGTGGAACATCCTCGCCAAAAAAAGACGTGCGCTTACCAGTCCTTAGCCATTTGGGGGATTGTGTTTCTAGCACCTTTATAAAGTTACGCATCCGTACCGATTTAAATTGGCATGCGTTTCTTTGGAACAAGTTGGTCTCATTATATAGCACGCCATCAGTGATTCTCTCCCAAGGTTTGTACGTGTAATAAGCTCACATTTCAAATTATTCATTGCGGTTTCCATGTCATTCAGCCAGTGGTCCAAATAACTTGTTATAAAGACTGCTCTCGTCTTCGGAAAAATAAAACTCGTTCCAGGCCTGTTGCCATTCGTCTGCTGTTATTACGCCATCTTTCTTGGTGTCCAGAGCCTCAAAAAAAGAATCCACATCATCTTGACCGAGGAATTTACACCAGGACGCCATTTCTTCCTTGGTGATGTTACCTCTTTGGTTGACATTAATAAGGTCGAAATTATTTGTGCAAACGTCTTTCAGGACAGCTCGAAAGGCGTCGGTGTTAATTTGTTCCTTTAAACTATTGATGAATTGTTCCTCACTAATGGCGGTAAATCTTGTGGTCAGCATCATTAGAATGGTCTGCCATTTTTCGCGTATTCTACGCGCCTGGTCTCCCTTCAAGCCGTTGGAAGAGATGTATCGAGCAGAGGCTGTCTTCCCGGCATCGCGGTTTAACTTGCCGTCTTTATTTACGCTGAAGCGATGGAAGACAGTCTTCATCTTTTTTAACCAAATGTCACTGAATTCTACCTGACGTTGCGCTGTGTCCGCCATTTCTTTTCACTTTGCCTGAAATTAATATATAGAAATATCAGGGTATTGTTATAAACTATTCTGAAAACAAAATATATAGCCGTCTTATTGTTGTCGTTACTTTTTTTGACGATCGACTCTTCTCCTGGTGTAAGTAAATATATAAACAAATGCTTAAATGTATAAACGTAAATAGATGTTAATAATACATTACTTTAATTGATATGCCCTTGAATTCCCTTCGTGTAGTGCAGACAGCAACGGGACGTATATATTAAATGAAAACTGCAAATGACCTTATGTCTGTCAGTGGAATAATAGTGCCATTTAAATTTTACAGAGCTTTCCTTCGCTGCCTATCTTTCTCCAAAGAATACACGGGGATTCGCGTGTGGAGGCACACACAGGGCTGATTAGCGATTCACGCCATGAGCTATCTCTCTCTGATGTGAATACCGATGACACGAAATGACAAGGAAGAGGACATATAATGATAAATGATGGCACTCCGGCTGACCTGGTACTAGATGTAGAGCAAGGGTACATTTCCTATCTTTACTGATAAATATAACTCTCTATCGAAGAGTTGGGACGGGGGTGGGGGTGGGGGGGACGAAGACAGGCAGTGTGCATGGTAGAGATGTCACTAACTAATTTATGCATTTTATGCTCATTTATACTCAATTGCCTTTTGTTCTTATGATTCCTTGAACAAAAGATCACCACACTTTGAGTATTCGTACCATGTAGACTGGTGGCTGTTGACGAATCTGTATTAGCAGTGTTTTTTGGGATATTAGCATCCTCAAATAATCTAAGCAGGGAATTAACATTCAAGCAAGCCATAAATGGGCGTTTTCATCACCAGTATAAGAATTTTTGACTTGGCAATATAGCATCAATGTTGCTGTATGCGAGCTGTAGGCGATTACATCGCTACCTGCGTGCGCACGAGTGTTAGAAAAATATTATATGTAGACCACGTTGCCGTCACTTCAAGGATGTGCTAGTACAATTAAGACGAGGAAAAACAAATGTATAAATGGATGAATGAATGAATTAAATAGATGTATCACTGGATGAATGGACAAATACATAGATTACTGGATGAATGAATAAATAGAAAGATGAATAATTTCCTTCCACAATATGCTAGCCTTGCAAGCCATCTCTTCTGCTGCATTTCAGTCTCATTACACACCAGAAATTGATGCATTTTGATATATTTCTTTTTCTTCCTCTAAATCCACTTAACGCTTATATAAAGTCCTTGCAATATCCACTTGAAAAAGAAATACAACTTTTGAGCAAGACCGCAAAGTCGATTATTTCTTTGCTAAAAAGGATGTAACTTGTCCAAGGGTCTCCGCATGCAATCTACGGTAGTTAGAAAATGTGACTATTTTAAACACAAAAAATACCACAAATGCATCTTGTAACTTTGCTTAAGGAAACGAACTGTAATGTCTACTCTTCTTCCAATAAATAGGCTGCCCAAAGG